ACCACAATCCTGCTTGCAAATTCTTACTGGTAAAAATTTTCCCAGCACGAATTTGCAATTTCCCCTCCAATTGAAATGTCAAAATTGTGCTCTCTCCTTGCAAGTTTTACTGGGTTTTTGGCTAAACGAACACGATTTGGTAACAATTGGTACCAACTTGTACTAATTTTTTGCATAGCGAACACTAATATTATCAAAATCAGGGACGTGAACCAGATGAAAACTTTTGTCGGTTCGGTTCAGCGGTTCAAACCGTTTTTGCACTTTTGGGTTGGTTCGTCAAAGCGGGGTTTTTGGTCTTTGAACCGGGGTTTCGGTTCGGTTCAACGGATCGAAAACAAACAAGTAACAAAGTCTAAGTTCGGGCGAAGCCGAATATTAAATACTCGGCGCAAGTATTAAATAATGAACAATCTTGTTGCGATTTACTGATGAAAGAAGTATGTAAATTTTCGTTTATTCAATTAGTTTAATTAATTCCAAACATTTGAAAGGTACTCGGCTGAAAAAGCTGTATTTTTCTAAGGGGTCCCTAGGGACCCATAGGAGACGTATGTAGGTGGGTCAGGAGTTGCATTTCTTTCAATGGCGGTTCATGCCCCATCCACGCTTACTCCCTCTTCACCCACCGCCCCTTTAACGACCGCACTTTATAGGAGAGTTTTCCCGACTTTTCAGAAAAATTCTTAGTATGTATGCAGTTTGATAGCCCATTCAATTTTAGTACAACAAAATGCAAATTTTATGCTGCTTAAAAATCGCATTAAAATTTTGGAATTTTTTTAATGGACGGTGTTATAATTTTTTCCATACAAAAAAAGTTGTTGAACATACTTTATATGAAAGAAATTGCGTCAACGCAATTTTTAGCAGCTTCTAACATGCAATTTTTTATACTAAAATTGAATAGGCTATAAAACTACATACTTATAATTTTTCTAAAAAATCTGATTAGATATTGGAAATTAGTGCGCAAATTTTTTGAATTTTTCTGACTTTTGCACAAAGTTTAGGGATTTTATTAACTGACTTAACAAAAAAGGAGAAGGGTTATCAATTCGTCGGAATATTTTTTTTAATGTGTGTTACCGCATAACTTTGGACCACGTCAACCGATTTCTATAAGTCTTTTTTTAAAGGAAAGGTGTAACCTCACAGGTGGTCCTTTATTAATTTAATCTAAATCCGATTATCGAATCATAAAGAAATTAACGATAATCCTAAATTTGTATACGAGAATTGAAGTCGGTTTTATTTTTTGTTTATAAATTACTTGTGCGATTTCAAAAATTTTCAATATGGCGCTTAAGAAGCCTAAGCGAAATGTGTTTACCAAATTTAGTTGAGATCGGTCGAGTGGTGTTTGAGATACGGATATATATATTTGAAATTCCGGTACATGCACACATATAATTCAAGGCCGTATTTAAGAAAAGTCGCCTAAATTCGACAATTTTTAGGCGATTGCAATAAATGGCGTATCACTTTATTTGGAAATAGATTTAATTTTAGATAGTACTCCATATTTTGAAATTGTAGAAGTTATCGATGGTCAAAATTTAAAAAAATAAGATAAATATGGATATTTTTAAAATTTACTCGATAAAAATCCCAACAAGTCTAATCCGACAATAAATTATTATATACCATTTTAAAAGCCTCTATAACCTCTTCTAAGATTATATTCGATCTTTGAAATCTTATCAAAAATAGTTATTCAAAAACTGCTAAATCTACAATATCCTATTTTCTGACCTAAATCGACCTAAATGACCTTTAAAAAATCTATAAAAATAGGCAATATGATTTATCATTAAAACAAATAAAATGCGGGGGTAGGGTCTTGAAATTTCCAAAAAAAAAGCATTTTCGAGGGCACCCTAATGCATACTCAAAAAATAAAAAATACGTATTTTGGCCATGAACCCTGCCTTTACTAAAATTGCTTATATCAGACTACATAAAAGCCAGGAACTGCATTTTCCTCTATAAACTTATACATACATACGAGAACCCCGCGTTATCTGTAACTTATTTTTCCAAAGTCGGAACGTTCCTCTGACTTAATTCTGCCTTCATATAACTTTAAAAATTGTGCCAGACTGTTTTTCATTAACGCTATTCGTATTTGGAATTCTATTCCTCATGCCGTCAAAATGTAATTCTACAAAAGCAACTTTAAAATTTCCCTCCATAACTATTTCTCTTCGAGTGGATGAACCATCTAAATAAGTATATATCTAGTCCATAATTTTTAGTTTATACATTTTATTTAGTGAGATCTAATATCATATTTTGTTTTGTTTTATTTCCTGCATTAATATTAATATTACCTCTGAATCTGTTTAGCTACATTCAAAAGACTAAGTCTTATTGTACTAATTTTAAATATAGAATTAATGAATGAATATAAGATATATTACTTACTGGATCCACAACTAGAACAGAACATCTATCGAAGTACGAATTAAGTTAGTTAAATTTTTTCCAACTACATCTAAGTACATACATATACATTCGACCAGAAAAGGTAATTTTCGGTTCATAATTTAAAAACGAATGTTATTTTCTACTGTATGTATTTCCGAGATTATCAAATAAAAATAATAAACAAATTGAATGGAACTTCATTGATTTAGCATTATTATTATTATTGTTGTGGATAAAGCACTGCGACCTTAAGATCTATTGTGCCCCCCTTCATGGATTATAGTGTGTCTATTAATCCAGTAACCGAGAAACCTAAACCTATGGATTTCACTTCGCTTTTGGTTATCAGATGTTCACATAGGTGCTCTTTGCGTTTGTGCATCAGTGCAGGACATTATTCTAAGATGTGCTGTGCAGCCTCGTTTTCCGTCATGCAAAATCTGCATCGCTCGTGCGAGTAAATTCCCAGTTTAGTCAGGTGATAGTTCAGCCTGCAGGGCCCTATCAGGATTCATGTAACAATTCTTAAGTTATTCTTTGATAAGCTCATACATTCCTTGAAGCGTTTTAGGTTAAATGTTCCTAAAAGTGCTTTGGACTGCAAGGGGTCGATACACCCTTCTTCGCTAGTTTATCGGTAATTTCGTTTCCTCTATCTCTCTTCGACTGAGAATATGAAGAGGGGTAAGATCTAAAAGAACATCCAAGGATGCGGTTGGACAAGTTCTCATGGCTCCGGGCATGCATACGCATGCCAGCCTTTAATTGTTCCGAGTTATATAGTTCGTAAAGAGGGTCGTACTATAGTGGTGTAGATCCACTCAGTATCTTTGGTGTGCATCACCAACTCTTTACTGCCATGGAACTACACGTCATAAATGATATTACAGCTTTCTTCCCAGTTTTTAGACTATCAAGTTTATATTTCCTTGAGAATGGTACTATAGTGGTTTTTACTGGATTTACATTCAGTCCCACTTTAGTACACCATTTTCGGGTTACATTCAGCCCTAGCTGATATGTATGTAGATGCTAAAGATTATTAGTAATAAAAAAAGTGTGAGTACCGGTAGGTCAGGTCTTGAAATTAGACGAATGTTTTAGAGAATTTTATGAAGATTTCGAGTATACGGCCCTTATTATGAGTTGCATTCGATTTTCGATCTTCACTGGCTATCGAAGATCGAATGTGAAATTCGTATTAAGAGCTATGCAAGCGTGTCTAAATTTTCGTTGAGTATCGAATTCTCATCCCTGGAGGAACGTACCTTACTTAAAGGACAATTATCGCATATTTTCCGTTTTTTCTGGCATTTTTTCCCAGCCCTGGTCATAAAGTTACCGCTAAAAATTTCTTTATTTAGGCAGAAATACAGACGGGTTGGCAATTGCCAGTACTTGCAGCTGCAGTGGAAGGTTTTCGACATTTACAGGTGTCTATTCTGGACGTTACCGATAGTCTTGTAACCGGAAATTTTTATTATCAAAAGTAAGCCCCTACCGCAACAAAATTAGCAAAAAGTGTTCTTTTTACAGCGATTCCATATAGGTGCGTTGGTAATGCAGTTAAATATTTAGTAATTCAGGTATGAAGAGTTTAGGAAATTCTTGCATTGCATATTTCACGGGGAAATACCAACTTAGATGGCAACAAAATTTACTTGTTACAAGAGTAGACAGATTGCGAAAAGTTTTTAAAAATTGACAGGAACTTATTTACCGGTTGCAGAATTTTCATTAACAGTGTAGATTGACCTGCTCAGCAGCTACAACATTTTTGTTACCAGCCCAGAATTGACCTGCTAGCGGAAGTTTACTATTTTCACGGCTATGGAGAGGACAACTATCAAAACCTATGATGTATGTAATGTTGAATATCGACTATAGAATACATTTCCCCACCTTTGTGTAATAAGAAGTAGTATAAGCTTCCTGGTTACAGTTCTCTTACACGATATTTATTTGCATAATATGCACATACATATTATGTAAATGCTACTTTTTTGCGTGTACTCGTATGTACCATATATGCATCTATTAGTACATATCAGTAAAGTAGCATTTACATATCGCTACCTTAATATAGAAAGGCCCTATCTGACATCGTCGCTGATATACAAAAAGCCGTAACTAACCAAAAATCGAAAATTTACGTTTTAATTGATTATGATGCATTTGATCGCATTATGTGGCCCCAAATCGTTTTATGCAATAAAAGATTTTAGTTAGTTACGGCTTTGTGCATTTCAGCGACGATGTGAGATAGGGCCTTTCTATATTAAGGCAACGATATGGAAATACATATCGTGCATGAATGCATTAGACTCCCTTTCTTATTTCAACTTAAGAGTGGTAGTGATCCGCCCCTTTTTCCTGATTTTAATGGCATAATTTTTTTTTGCGGATATTAAAGGGCGGCACTTGGTGGTTTAAAAAGTGGATTTTTTAATATTTTCAAAAGCTTATATTTCGAAAAAGTATTGAACCTATTTTCAAAATAAGTAACAGCCATAAATTTGTTTTTGTTTCCTAGAATATATATAAATATATACAAATCAGTATACAATATATCAGTATTTCAATTATCTATACCGTGTTCTCATTTTTAAAATCGGGTCAATAGTTTTCGAAATACAAGCTTTTGAAGATGTTAAAAATTCCACTTTGGTAGGGCGTCATTAAAATCAGGAATCAAGAGTTGGGTATGGAAAACTTTGTAAAAAGTAATACCTGACCCCTCGACCCTTCACAACCCCATGGGGAACCATTCCGACACAGAAAATGTTAACTCGGGGTAAGACATCCCAAGTATTTTTCTGCAAAACACATTTATAAAGCAAAAACCTCATCTGATATTTAGCGCCTTTCGACATTTCATAATTAATATAATTTTTTAGTTTAATTTTACTCACCTCGTCGTGTAGGAGCTTTTGCTCTTCTTCCCCAATAGTTAAATTTATTGATTCTTCATTAGACTCGCCCGCGTTTTCCTCTTCACCTTCAGGCCCATCATGATAATCCCCTTCTTCATCTGCGCCATCATTATTACCATCACCTACTTCATCCTCGATAATTACACATTCATCATCCACATCGCCTACTTGGTCGACTTGATCGTCGTCATCGCCCTCGAATTGGTCATTTTCGTCATAGTATTCTTCCTCTCCGCCATCTTCTGTTTTAATAGGTAGATCATCTTCGTCAATAGGTTCTTCTTTGATTTTAATTTCTTCAATGAGCTTTCCACCAACTTTTTTTGCGTCCATTGCTTTCTTAGGGGTGGCTTTGGTATTAGGCATAAAAAGGTATTTTGCAGGATCTAAGCCCTCACTTTTGATCGCCTAAAATAATTATTGATGTTACATATATACACGCATATA